TCGGGAGGACGCGGGTGTGTTTTGTGTTCTCGTGGTTGGGTTTCCTAAGGTCCAGCTCTCTCTGCAGCCTCAGCAGGTGCTCGAGCCTGCGGGGGTGGCTGGCTCCAGTGAACCCTGGGGGCTCAGGGCAGATCCTGCTGTGCTGGGGACCCTGGCCACGGTGGGTGGGAAGGCTGCAGCCCCCTGCCCGGTTGCCCAGCGCTGGCTGTGCCCACCCGACTCCCAGCTCAGGGTGGGCAGAGAGCTCTCTGCTGTCAGACGCTGCGTGAGACCCAGACGCATTAACCTCTTTCAGAGCCTGGCCCCAAAGCTGCGGGGTCTCTTGGTTATCGTGAGGACCCCTCACACCATCAGCTGCCCCAGGAGTGCTTGGGGAGCCCGGTGAGCCCCCCTGGGCTGGGAACGGGGGTCCGAGCGGTCGTGCCGCACGGCCGGGGTCGCTCACCCATCGGTGCCTGTGAACTCCGCATGAAGTACAGCTTAGTCCTGCCCGGGCTCTGTCCCACGGTTCACGGGCCTATTGTTGCAATTAAGATTTTGCTAATTTGAAGGTTCTAAAGCTACTGATTGCTCTTGGGCTGCAAGGGAATAGCTGGGACGGCTTTAATATTGCTGTCTTTGGGACTGCCCTGCCCCTGGCCACTCCAGATCCACCCTGGAAACCACCTGGGGCCTCACACTCAGGTTTTTCTGGCATCTTTCATGCGCCTTTTCCCTCCCCCTCCGTATTTAATTCCCCATTTCCTTTTATTTGCTGTCTCTCAAGCCTCCTTTAAACGGCCAAGCTCTTTCCTGGGGACAGGAGCCATCTCCCACCATCCCAGGCAGTTTTCCCGGCGCAGCTGGCACGCCGTAAATCCACACACTTCAGCCTGTGAGACCATCCTTGTTAATCAGCCCTGTGCTGTTTCTATACCTAATTAGCTCGTTGGGAGGTAATTGCTCACCTCTCCTGTCCTCAGACCCTTGTGCTCTGCTGAATATGGTGGAGCATTCCCTGAGAGCAGACTCATCCCCGGGACCCTCTGCCCAGAGACGCGGGAGCACCCCCAGCCCCCATGGCACCCCCCTGCTCTGTTCTGGGCCGCTTTGGGAACGCCAAGTGAGGGACACGGAGAAGGTGTGAGCAGCAACAGCCCCTGTGCCCCAGACCATGTCCCTGCCATGGGGGGGACAGCAGCAAGGAGCTGCATGAGGCTAGGCTGGACAGGACCTGACCCAGAGCACCCCCTCCCCGGGGTGTGGGTCC